TTTACGATAAATCTTAAAAATCATGATTTTTATTAAAAGCTACAAAGGTAAAAAAATAAAAAAAAAAGAAAAAAGAGAAAAATGTGCTAGGTGACAGAAATAAAACAAACTCATGAAGCTTGTAACCACGAAAGTTACGATTTCTTTTTAGGTAACATGATGCAAAATCGTCGTTCTGGCTCTTACGACAGAAATCGTACACCAACACTAATGCCAGATCCGAGGTTTGCGCTAAAAATTTGTTTTTTTTTTTCCTCGTTTTTGATGATTTTAAGCTTTTTTTTTTTTTGTTTTCATGGGATTTCCTTCTTTTTTTTGGCAACTTATTCGGATGTACTTTGAATAGCTACATGTCAGCAGTGGTGAAGATAGACGGTGTTGACTTGGAAGAAGTTAACAGAACGAATGGAGAAAAAGCATGATTTAATAGTAGCTTGGTGCTGACGATCAACGTGATACTGCTGTTACAGTTCTGCTGTACAGAAGTTAAACTTGTAAATATAACGGGCGCTGTGAAAAAAAAATCGAAAAGGAAAAAAGTTAGCTGTGACTAAGCTGTTAGGTCCTCACATGGTCCTTGACTACAGCAGCGGAAGACAGGGAAGAATACCAGTACTTTGTTCTTCCAAAAAGAGCTTCGCTTTAAATAAAACGATGGGCGGAACGACGCGTAAAACGACGAGCCGGGGCACCGCATAAGCTGTTCAGCAGAAGGATGATGCTGGTGGTGTTGAGGCGAGACGCTTGTAGCGTTAATAGCGGAAGAACGTAACAGACGAATGGCGTTTGTTAATTCCCAAAACTAAGGGCCTGAGTTTTAGGATAGGGTTTATATAGGGAAAATTAATGGAGGAAAAAGGAGGGCAAGTTAGTTAGTGAGTGAGAAGCTTGGTAATATGGAATTATTCAGAATTTGATGGAACTGTTAGAAATTAGTGAGTGGAGGGAAATAGGTTGAAGTGTTAAGGATTAGTGAGAGGAGGGAAATCGAATTGCAGGGTTACAAAAGCAATCCTCAGTAGAACACACCGTAGATGACAGCAAGTTGCAAC